CTAAACTGAGCTTAAGAGTATATAGGAATTGGTGTCTTTTTTGTGAAGGAAAGGGGGTGTATTTATAGGCTTTTTGGGAGTGCAGCTCGGGTACTCGATCGAGTATATACGGATACTCGATCGAGTATGTGTAGAAATACCAGATTCGAGGTATACTCGATCGAGTATATGTTCATACTCGGTCGAGTATGTGTAGAAAGTGATATTCGAGCCATACTCGACCGATTTCGGGTTTAAACTCAAAGGCATACTCGATCGGGTATGTCGGTCTACCCGATCGAGTATAGACATTGAATCGTGGCCAAAATCTTCCCGGCATGTTCCTTTGTCTTCGGATCCGATCCGATTTGAAGTTTCAACCTTATACTCGATCGAGTATAGGTAATACTCGACCGAGTATAGACCAAAATCAGGATTTTCCCTTTTGTCTTGTGATTTTGCACCTTCCTTCCACTTTTGGGGTTCACCAACTGTCCTTTGAGTGATGGTAGACCTGTTTGAGCTCAGAATGACCCTAATCTAAACAAATTACAAGAATTCAACAAACTAAACTATTACACCAAAAGTGTGTAATTTCCGAAACACTAAACAACCAAAACTAGCTAAAAACGTAAACATACACACGGAAATTACAAGTGTATCAACTCCCCCACACTTAGTTCTTTACTCGACCTCGAGTAAAACAGAAACATCCAAACGGTTTAAGAGTTTTCCAAAAGTTCAAGAAAGAAGGAAACTAAGACCACCAAGGGGAAAAATGAGTTTTTACAACAACATTCTTTCTTGGGTTTAATGATCTTCTATGCTCCATCTTCTTGCCTTTTTTCTTCTTCTTTTTCTTCTCTTCTTCCTCTTTTTCTCCAAAGAGATTAAATGAGTGCATGCAAAAACAAATATTTCTCTCATATCTCTCATTTTGCCTAGGAGCCTTTTCAGGTTTTCATCCTAGCATCTCTTTTAATTTTCCATTCTCCCAACTCACTCATCATTTTTTTACAAGCCTTTTTTTTGCTTAGATTGCCCATTTTGTTGGGTTTTCAACCTAACTAGAAAATGAGATTACATACCCATGATGAGTCTCCTCCCCCACACTTAGTTCAAGCATTGTCCCTAGTGTCCAATTTCAGCTTTTGTTGTTTGTGGAGTAAGGTGATTTTGATTTTTGGTGGGTTGTGGGTGTTTTGGTGGAGAAATGATGGACATATGGTAGAGGGAAGGTAGAAAAAATGGAGTTTTGGGGAGAAGGGGTCGAGGTTGGTATGGGTGTTTGGAGAAGATGAAGTGTTTTGGGGTGTGTTTTGGGGTTAAGTCGCAGATGTACCCGATCGGGTACTCAACACAGGGGTTCGAGTATGAAGTTTTCCAGTAATACCCGATCGAATATGGCTTAATACTCGATCGGGCCTTCAAGACAGGGTCTGGTAGGTTGATTTTCCAGACATACTCGACCGAGTATATGTCCATACTCGATCGAGTGCTGGAAACAGGCTCCTTTTGGATTTGCCTTTCTGGACATACTCGACCGAGTATTAACTGATACTCGATCGAGTATGCCTCCAATGTTTAAAATACTGGCCATTTCGCTCGAGTATGGAGCTCGGGTTCTCCCTATTTTTACCCATACCCGACCGAGTATGGATGATTACGCGATCGGGTATGTCCCCAGATACACTTTTTTTTTTTTTACACACGCACACATACTGAAATAAACTGAAAAGAAAACATACCTTACTTGGGTTGCCTCCCAAGAAGCGCCTAATTTAACGTCGCGGCACGACGCCATCATTGTGTTCAATCGTTCAAGCTTGGATCGTGATACTTCATCTTCTTCAAATTTTCACCCGGGTGACTCTTATAGAAATACAATATTTTTCGACCCTCTATTTGGACAATCTTTCCGGGATCAAATATCCGGATTTGTATCGCTTCACATTGTGAAAGTGAGGGTCCATGATTTTCACTAAGCATGGTCAATGGAAGGGGTTTTGATCCGGGTGGTATAAGAGGGAGTATGAAATATTTGTGTAACTCCATCGTTATTCCTTGCTTATTTGTGAACAAAGAGAAGTCTAAATTATATTCACAATTGCTGAAGATTTCATAGATATTTTTGTCCTTCTCCACCCTTTGTGTTTCATTTAGAGCCTCAGGAAATGGTGGCATGATCTCAGGAATGGCCGATGGTTGAGTTGAGTTTTGAGGTTCCTCCGGTTGAGCTTTCTCCGTATGCTCCTCTTCTTCCTCCTCCTCGCTCATGTGGTTCACAATGCTTGGCATTTGTTGCGGGCATTGTGACATATTTTGTTGCATATTTTTCACATTAATAGTGAGAGCTCGGATCATGTCTTCAGTGGACATGTTGGAATAAGAACTTGGGTATAGGTTATATGTGTTGGAGAATGAATCATACCTCTCTTGGAAACCAACATCATTCCTTTGTTCAAAATATTCTGTTTGAAGTTCTGGGCAAAAATCCGTAAGATGCCTTTGTGACATGCAAATGTTGCATGTATGGACATCTTGAGATTTTGAACATGAAATAAACTCCTTTATTAGAAAAGTCAAGTCGGAAATTTGACTCTCTAGAGATGATATGTTGGCATCCATATACTCATAACTCATGTAAGCTCAGAAAATAGAAGAGTAAGTTTTTTTTTGTTTTTAAATATTTTTTTATTTTTTATTTTTTTGTTTTTGATTTTTATGAGATAAAATAAAAAGAAAAATAATTGTCTTTCCCCGGCAACGGCGCCAAATTTGACGTGCACTTTGTCGTGAGTGCACTCAAAATAAATCGATACTAACACTTATACGTAGTATAGGTGAAGTAGAGTTCGTATCCACAGGGAAAGGAATAACTTTCTTTTTATATAAATAGTAAGTAAAGGGGGGTTTTGATTGTTGAGTGATTTAATTAAATTAAACACGAAGATGAACGAGTTATGTGGTTTAATTCAAAGATAAAAGAGACTTGGTATTGCTATTTTACACTTGTTGATATATTTTAGTCGATCATTGTTATATCTATAACTTATCTCCTCTCGAATACTCAATCGAGGAGTATATCCAATTCATCGAGGATAGTTATTAACAACGACCGTTCATTAATAACACTTACTATTAGTCAAGTATAGAACAAGCGCCGTATACCGACTTGATAGTAGCATTTAACCGCTTAACTCCTTGATGAAATCAATTGAGATCGATAACCTCAACACAAGCGGTTTTGGTTTAACCAACACAATTAATTCCTCTTAGGTCTATTAACCACGACCGTGCATTAATAAACCGAAGCTACTTACTTGTGAAACCATCAACGATTACCATTGGTTCGTTGATCGTATCTAGTAGTAATTAATATATGAAACAAAACTAGTTGATCCTTTAAGTAATGTTCAAAATATTAATATGAAATATGAATAGGAATTAATTAATACTCAAGGAAGAATATTAAAAGGGAATGAATCCTACTATAGTTAAATATCAAGATGTTGACTAATTGTCATCTTAGTAACACTCCCCGATATTAACATAGAGGAAGGAATAGCTATTACTAAAACCAATGTCAAGATGTTAACTAATTGTCATATTAGCAACACTCCCCAACATTGATATAGAAATAGTATTTGAAGGAAGAATTAATATTCAAGGAAAGAAGTTAAGAAAATAACTCACAACTTTAATAATCAACAAGCTTCAAGAGCAACACCAAGAAATGGAAGTTTAGCTCCTCATTTGGAGACTAAACATGCTAAAAGAAATATAGAGAAATGCTATTCTAAACTGAGCTTAAGAGTATATAGGAATTGGTGTCTTTTTTGTGAAGGAAAGGGGGTGTATTTATAGGCTTTTTGGGAGTGCAGCTCGGGTACTCGATCGAGTATATACGGATACTCGATCGAGTATGTGTAGAAATACCAGATTCGAGGTATACTCGATCGAGTATATGTTCATACTCGGTCGAGTATGTGTAGAAAGTAATATTCGAGCCATACTCGACCGATTTCGGGTTTAAACTCAAAGGCATACTCGATCGGGTATGTCGGTCTACCCGATCGAGTATAGACATTGAATCGTGGCCAAAATCTTCCCGGCATGTTCCTTTGTCTTCGGATCCGATCCGATTTGAAGTTTCAACCTTATACTCGATCGAGTATAGGTAATACTCGACCGAGTATAGACCAAAATCAGGATTTTCCCTTTTGTCTTGTGATTTTGCACCTTCCTTCCACTTTTGGGGTTCACCAACTGTCCTTTGAGTGATGGTAGACCTGTTTGAGCTCAGAATGACCCTAATCTAAACAAATTACAAGAATTCAACAAACTAAACTATTACACCAAAAGTGTGTAATTTCCGAAACACTAAACAACCAAAACTAGCTAAAAACGTAAACATACACACGGAAATTACAAGTGTATCAATTAATTATAGTCATTTGCATTTTTCTTTCTATCTTTCACTTCTCTCTACAATAATACTACGTACACGCATGAGAAGCACTATCCATCATAATGATACACTCATATTTATTGAGACAATTTCTTTATTTTTTTATTGTTAGTTTTTTGCACATCGTAGTCTAATAACCATAAGATAAACAAAATTAATAATAAATTCTATTATCATGTCGTCCTTAATTAATATGCTACATTGTCATCTCTAATTTCCCGACTAATTCAGTCGAATATACTCTTACTATATGGATTCTATAGAAAATGTGCTACATATGTACCATTTACCAAACAATTGCAAATTAATCTGCTCCATTGGTAGATCCTTTGTTTTTATGGATCAAAATTTAAAAATAAGCTGGAATTCAAACAATTATTACCACAAGAAGATGTGTGTACTAGAAATTAAGATAATTAAAATAATTAGAGATGCAAAATGTTTGTACCAAATAAAATTGGAAAAGAACATTAAACCTTTAATTTATTTAGTACAAAATTTATAACCTAAACGAATAAAATAAAGAATAATCCAATGAAGTAATTGATGAGATTAACACTAAATCATATGCCTAGTTGAGCACCTTATTGTCTACATTTTGTATATTAAGCTAAGTTAGAAGAAAAGAAAAAACGCAAAAGCTCTTGTGCGCGGCGGTTTCCGGCAAGAATATATTTTTCCGGCCTCGATCTCTCGTCGTAGGCCGTGGCTAGTTGTCGCTGGCGTTGTGGTTAGCATCCTCGGCGACGCCGAATTGGATGTTATGGCGGGGCAACGCCGCCGCCATCGCCACCGCAGGTGTATAATGGTGACTGTCAGGATGAACCGCCGCATGGGAGTTTGAAATGGTAATACAATCAACGGCGGCGAAGTTTTTATTTCCAAGAGTGGCGGCGGCATTGGTGCCGGGATTTCGACGGGGTGGAGTGACAGCACGCCACTGGAGGGAATTCAAAAGAAGAGTATCGCGCTGACCAGCTGCGGCGGCTTTCTTGATCATCATCCATTCTTTGTCTTCCTCATCGAGAATCCTGGCAGCTTCACACGGCGGTTGTATGGTGATCACGATAAGAAGTAGGGCGGCGCCGGCTATAGCAGCCGAGGAGAGAACGTTTTTCGCCATCTTAATTCGTGTTTAATTACCGGTGCAGCTAGTTATATTGATATCTTGTATGGGTCGTACGAGCTTATATATAGACACAAATTTAGTACTACGTATATAATTCGGGTTTGGACTTTGGGTATAAGAAAGAACGTAACTTTGACCGTTGACTAATCGAGCAAAGGTTTGCATGAGAATGGAACGAGTCATGCCCTATTATGAAATAGACTTGAGGAGTGTTTGCCCTACCTTACTAAAAATGCTTTTATGCTTATCAGAATCGCTTCTTTCTCAAACACTACCAACTTTTACTATCAAGTACTTTCTCCAAAATTACTTTAAAAATCACTTTTTTTGAAGTAGAAACAATCGCAAACACTCTCTTCCCCATCCCTAATGGTAAGGATGTTTTTACTTGATCCATGAACCGGAAAACGTCTTGTCTGTGTATTTTATAATTGTCCAAATATGATCTAGTCTGATCTAGTCTAGTCTGATCTGATTGATCTGGTCTGGTCAGGGATTGAAAATAGTCAAGTAAAAACATCCTAAGTTTGGGTGTTGGGGAAGGGGGTGGAAAGACGTACTTTGAAGGTATGTTGTTGAACGGGAAAATGAGAGGGAAAGTAAGAAAACTCTTAATTGTATTTGAGAGTAATAAATTTAGAAAATGAGTCTTTGAATGAACTATAATTAGAATCACTTCAAAATATGAAAGATTCAAATAATTAATTGAATTGATATTCATTTTAAATTGATCTTAAATTATCATTTAATTTCGTTAACTATCTTTCGAGACCGTTCAAATTGGTGGAACTTAAAAATTGAGCATTAAGAGAATTTTGGGGTAACAAAAACCCTCCAAAATCACTCCTTCCGATTTTTTAAACTTCCAAACATAAAAATGAGAGTTATAAACCCCCATAAACACTATAGAGGTGTTGGTTTGAGACTGCCGAAAGCTTCTTGCAGATGAAAGATTTATCAAATTTCAACCTACTTTTCGCGTAAGAAATAGTTGTGCAGCTCACTAGCTAATGCATATGCATGCCGCTCACGTGTCAGAAGAGACTCTCAATACTTCGCGAAGCACCTATATGGATTAAGAGCCTACTTCAGGAGGATGCTAATGGTTTCGAGCGTACCAGATTTTAATGTATTTTTTTTCTTTTCTCCGGCCGTTCTATCCAAAAAATAAATCTTCATCAATTTTCTCCCTCCAAAACCTAACTCCTAAACATACCCTTAATTTCCAAAATTAACTCTGTTAAAAATAAAACAATATTCAAGATGACTTTAATTTAATAAATAATATTCAATAATATATGATTACATATTAGTAAAACATTCTTGGTGTACGATTGTAATAAGATGTACGGAGTATGTAGAAAAATCAGATTTTCTTTTGACTACATGGAGTTTGGACGATGTACAGTGGAGTTGTTTGTTTAGATTAAAATTCAAAAATTCAATCACGCGCTCATGACTATGCTGAGCTCCTTTCCTTGGGCAATACGGCAAGAAATTAAATGACACCCCATGAAATTGCAAGCTGAGATAATTTAGTACGAAATTTTGCTATGAGGCCTGTACAGTGTACACCCGCCTATCTACTCTATTGAATTTGAAGATTACGTTAAAAGGCTATACATTTATAGACAATAGTCAAATAAAATAATTAATTTCAATATAATTTGACAAATAGTAAGTTTTGCTGCACATCAACACCATTATCATCAATACAATGAAATAATTGATGATAGTGGTGTTTATGGGGATGTATCAATTTTAATATCTGATGGTATTGTTATCTTTGAATAGAATTGTCCATTTTTTAAGGTGGAACGAGAATATTAGTGTGAGATATCTAAGTGAGACCATTGAAACCAAACATAGAGAGAGTGAGATGCAGATAGTAAGAATACTTTTTATGAACTGTACTAAATAAATGTGATGAGTTGTGAGTAAGAATACTTTTTATTACTGTATTTCATTAGAGAAAATACATCCTTTTTGAAACCATATACAGGGCTACTCTGAGTATGGTCCGGTGTTGAAACCATATCGTGATTCATCTACTATTCTTGATTATTCTGATGCAGATTGGACTAATTGCCCTAATCAAAGCTAGGTATCGGGCTATTACACATACCTTTCACGTCCTTCATGGCAAAATTCATATTCAACTCATTTTATTTGAGCTTGGCATTACAACTCGTGCTCCAGTCAAGCTACTTTGTGACAATGTGTGATATTCTCATTCAATATGTGTGCTCGCAGTAAGCACATCAATATTGACTACCATTTTATTTGCGAACGCGCATGTTGTTGATGAAGATCTCATCATCAGATGTATTTGTACTCAACTTCAGTTAGCAGACATTTTCACTAAAGAGTCGTCTTTCTGCTCAACGCTTTATTTTTACATAGCAATCTCTGTTTGGTTCCCCGGCCCCGCAAAGTTTGAGGGGTGTAATAAGTAGTACGTAGTAATATAGATTTATGATGAGTTCAATATTATTAGACTTCTTTTGTAACTCGGATTGTTCATCTATTATAGAAGTACATATGATCATGCATAGGGCTAAATTTGAACCATTTGAATCATTATAAAAGAAGTGTAAATTTGTTTTTTTTTAAAGAGGGGCTTAAATTGATATCACATCATTCAGATAGGGAGTAAAATGACAAAAGGACCACGGGCAACCGCCAGCCCTCGAACCAGATTAGAGTCAATCACCTTCAAAAAAACAATATGACTCGTTGATCCTATAATGGGCAAAATGAGTCAACGACGGTTAAAGTAGATCTTCCATCATCCAATCCTGATACAAAAGTCTTACAACAATAAAAGTAACCAACAGACAAATAAACAGTCTGATCATGATAAATAAATAGCAAGCAAACAGTGAAATTAAAATGCCGCTTCCAAACCCTTGACTCTCATGCACTCCATGATGGTGGTTTAGGAGGGGGACAATCCAGCAATACTGTAGCTTCTTCCTCACCTTGCCTCTTATTCATCGTATATATTCTCTACCAAGTCTCCTTTGTCGCCACCTAACACGGATGACCTTGAATCCAGATCTGTTCCAGCCTCTAGCCCCGCGCTTCGTCCATGTCCTTTGGCCGCCGGAGACCAAGCATCCGTTTTTCCGTCCCTGCATAACCCCTCGGCCGCTGGAGACCAAGCATCCTCTTCCCTCCGCCTAATCTCGCCAAAGCAAAAGAAGAAAAATAGCCGCACAATTGATGGCGGAAGAAGAAACCCTGTATGCCAAAACCCGCTTGTGACGGCCGCTCCTTGTTACAAACGATAGTGGAGGAAAAAACTCTAGCGACGGAAACTCACCCTAGCGAGAACTTTTGTTTTTAAGAAGTACTCCCTCTGTCCCTAAATTTACTTCCATTTCGCTTTTCGAGAGTCAACTCAAATCACTCTTAAACTTTTACTTTTTGTATCAAAACTTTATGAAAATTGATTTTTTTTTGCAGGCTTTGTAGCGGGTTTAATGTAGTTTCTGAATATGTAAATTTTATTTACTAAAAATAATCCGAGTTTTCACAGGGATCATTTAACTTTATCGTCGGTCAACCTTCGTAATCCGCAATTGGAACAACATTCAGGGACGGAGGGAGTATAAATCTATTTAAAATCTGAAAAAGGATGTGGGGGTAGGGAGGGTTTAAAAATATACTCCCTCCGTCCCCCTAAGTTTGGGACGGAGGGGTGTGGTGTGGTTTTTAAGAAAAAGTGGAATTGTGTGGTTGGTATTGAATTGATAAAGTGTAAATAAAGTAAGAATGAATTCTAACCACTCAAATGTTATCAAATATGGTATGGGACAAACTTAGTGGGACGGATCAAAAAGGTAAAACGGGACAAACTTAGGGGGACGGAGGGAGTATTAAAAAAAGATTTGGGACCGATTCAATAATCATAAATAGAAATCTCTATCTCAGTTCCCAACTTATCATCTCCCAAGGATCTGGGACTAGAGTCAGACCTTAATTGTCCAAAAAATATTATAGGTATCCCATTTTGGGGTACCCCGTTTGTACACCTAGTTGTATGGTTCACAAAAGCAATTGTTAAAAATGGGACAATTAATTTAATGAATTGAGCTTTGGTGTACAAATGGGGTATCCAAAATGGGGGTACCCAAAATGTAGGGGTGGACTCGGGCCGGACGGCCCGCCCCGGAACCGGCCCGAACCGGTCACTGTTTGAACCGGCCTGAACCGTCGGCCCGGCCAGGGACCGGTCCGGGTAGGCCCGACCTGTTGGGTTCCGGGCCGGGCTCGTGTCCCTCAAAAGGTGATCCGGCCCGGCCGGTTCGGGCCCGGTCTGGGCCAATTTATTATTTTTTCTTTTTTTTTTTGATTTTTTTTTTAGTTTTTGGGTTGGACTGGGTATTTTGGACCATTTGAGGTGGTTTAGGGTGGTTTGGGGGTGAGGAGGGAGGGTTAAATAGGAAAAGCCAAAAAAAAAAAGAAATATAAATTGAACCGAGGCCCGGCCTGACCCGGACCCGGGGGTTACCCGGGCCGGTTCCGGGCCTCCCCTTTCATGAACCGAGGCCCGACCGGGCCCGAACCGGCCCGAGTCCACCCCTACCAAAATGGGGTACACCAAGCATTGCTCCCACCCTTAGCTTACTTCCTTGACTAAGTTGACTTCAACATGCACCGTGATAGTTTCTTGGGCTTTTGCTTTCATACAAGGAAACGACCGCGAGAACACATCACCGAGAAATGAAAGAAGGTAATTTACCCATCAACTCCACGTTGAGAGATCGAATCGGATTAATTTCAACTATAAAATCTATGTAAATTGGTTCAATGATAGTAAATTTTTATGCAATTGTAACTAGCTACGATAAATGTCAATATTCTTTATTAGAATATGACACAAGTAAACTTTTTTTGGAGATCGAGGATGACAATATTTTATTATACAACAGGTACTTGTGACAATAAGTTTTTTTTTTTGAAGTAGCATAAAATTGGAAAGAGAGAATTCCCTAAATAAGAGTAAAAACGTTTTGAAATTCCAAAATATGACTAAAACGTTTTTATTCCCTGAATATGATTAAATTTCTGCCAAGTTTGGCATTAAACATGACATTTTTTTCAAACTTGACAGATTACTCTCATTCAGGGAATAGAAAACATGATAGTCTTATTTTGAAATTTCAAAACGTTTTTACTCGTATTTAGGGCAATTTATTGAATTGAAAAATCCCCAACAAAACCAATGAAATAATGTGATTATCAAACCTTAAATTTAAATTTAAAATAAACCTAAAACCAATCAAATTAAAACAAACCTAAGTTAATTTTTGATGGGTGAATCATTTATGTAAGTAACTCAATACCAATCAAACCAGAAAAACGAAACCTACCTCCTAACTGTCCACCCCTAGTTTAGGTGATGAAACGAAAAATCACAAAAAGCCGTTGGGAGATCCTACAATCTCACCATACTCGACAGTTCCATTCCCCGCCAAAAGCGCATGCAAACTGCACGCAGCGCGTTCTTCTCATTCATCGAAAAATGCTGTTTCCGGCCATCTATCACACCGAATCCCTAACATCACCGCATTCTCTTCGATCCGCCTGACCATATTCCTCGCCGATCGAGCTCCCTTTTTACGGGATCCAACTCTTTCGTTTCAGGAATTTCAAATCGCTGTACTCGAGAAAGTAAGTTCAATGTAGTTGAAATTGAATGTTTTCCTTCCTCTTTCAACTGTGTTTCCGTCAGGCATCATTCATTTATACCATTGTTCGCTGATTACCAGTGCAAGGAGCTCCTGTAGATATTGTAGTAGGTTCCAAGGTATGGATCGAGGAGCATCCGGTTTCTTACACTGATGGAAAAGTCTCAAGTATTGATGGACAGAAAGTTGAGATCCAAACGGCCGATGGACGGAAGGTATTTCAAGCTGCTCCGCGATGTTCTGGGATGAATGGATGATCCTTCCTTCTTTTTCACGAGCTCTTAATATGCAGTGCTTGAATCGTATTTTTATTGTCATCTCATTGCAAATTTGCTCTGGAAATGTTATTTGACACTAATGACACAGAATTATCACTTCGCTCACTGTGATTGCTCCAATTGATCCAGGTTGTATCAAGTTTATCAAAGGTGTATCTCCAAGATGATGATACTCCTGAATGTGGATTCGATGACATGACCAAACTCTCATATTTTCATGAACCTGGGATCTTGCATAATTTGTCAAGAAGATATCGTCTAAAAAGTTTTTATGTAAGATTAATATTTCTTAGTTTCTTTCATTTGTATTCACAATCGTGAGAAGAAGTTATGAATTACTTACTGCCGAGATGGGCAGATTTGTTATAACATTGGATCATGCCCTGACATTCTGGCAGACTTATACTGGAAGTATTCTTATCGCAATTAATCCATTCCAAAAACTGCCTGACTTGTATGATGTTCATACGATGGAACAATACAAGGGAGCTTCTCGTGGAGAATTTAGTCCTCATGTATTTGCAATTGCTGACATTGCTTTCAGGTAAGTATTTATCACCTGTGATCTTCTCATTAAAATGGCATAGAACTCACTGAAGTTAAAACAGGGCAATGATCAATGAAGGCAAAAGTAACTCTATCCTGGTTAGTGGTGAAAGTGGTGCGGGTAAAACTGAAACTACCAAAATGCTCATGCGTTATCTTGCGTATCTGGGAGGACGAAAAGGTACTGGAGGGAGAAATGTAGAACAACAAGTTCTGGAGGTAAACTTGATTCCAGGCTTCCAGCATCAGTTGTTCAAACTCTTTCTGTCCATAATGGTATTAAATGACAGAACTTGTCTGGGTAAAATCAGTTTCCATATCTTGAAGCATACGAGTAGTTTTAACTCAAGACTCCATAATCATTATGCATTACATACGTAGTATATTCTAATCTGCCATTCAGCTTTATAGAGAACAAAATCCTTCTTAAGCTCTTGCACTATGGTATTCCTCAATAACTTCAAGGAAGTTTTGCTCTACATTTTCCTCTTCTACTCTTATTAGCTCACTATCCATATTGAGCCAATCACTATTTTATAATTACATGTTTTAATCTAAGTGACAGTAACTATAAGCCTATGTTTGTCGGAAGGAAGGAGTACTGGTACTATCATATAATGACTTTTTAAACCCATTCATACCTACATTAATTCTGAACATTCATAAATTGTCTGAACCAACTTGCTACCAGTATACCCTCAATCATAATGGGTTGATACAAATAAGGTTTATTCTAATGTGCCTCTTCTTATCCTGCACCCCCATCGTAGCATTCACTTTTGACTTAGAACCCTACACCTCCATCTTAAAGTTCACTTCTGAATTAGAGCTATCTTATGAGCCGTTCACTTCTTCACAACCCAAAAATATACTTTTACCCTCCAAAACTCCATGTACTTTTCATTCTGTCATTTGCCAGTCTCATGAAGGATAAAAGCATATACCTTGTTTGGCATTTTTTATACATTACCTCTGTTCTTTTTTCTTTCTGGTGTACCAAAAAGAACTCCACTTTTCTTTAGAACTTAATGTGTAGAAGTTTAGGAGCCCAGAATGCGGTGGTTGCTGTCTCAGTAGTTTAGTGTAAGCAATTATCCACTATGAGTACTTGAAAGTTGAAAGTGCTATAATGAATGGATACTAGATAATTAAAATGTGTTTTCAGAAACAAATTAATGAAAGTAGATAAGCTACACCTATGCCATGAATTGTCTTTTTTAAGGAATATGCCAGGAATTTTCAAATGTTTACTATAAGATTTTAGATGGAGGCTTAAATGAAAAATGACACGCCTTTCCAACTTAGTGAAACTCTTCTCATGTTTAGTTAATGATTTAAATGCTTACAGTTCATAAAATAGGAAAGGAGTTTTAAGCTTCTAGCTTGTAGTTTCCCTTTAAAAGGCTATCCTTACTGGCAATTTGATTTTAGTCTTCAACTCAACGTTTTACTAACACAATTGCAGTCAAATCCAGTTCTTGAAGCATTTGGCAATGCTAAAACTGTAAGAAATAATAATTCCAGGTCAGATTTGTTACAATAAACTTTCAATCATTAAATGATTCATTTGGTTTTTATAAAACTAAGAAATATCAGCAGTCTCTGATGCAGCTATATTAATGCAGCCGTTTTGGGAAATTTATTGAGCTTCAATTCGACAATTATGGGAGAATATCTGGAGCAGCTATTAGAACTTATCTCCTAGAGAGATCTCGTGTTTGCCAAGTATCTGATCCTGAGCGAAACTATCATTGTTTCTACCTTCTATGTGAAGCGCCAGAAGAGGTAAACCATCTGACACCTTTCTCCTTATCATAATATCTCATATTCGGCAATTCAATTGGTTGGTAAATATATGTTAATTGACATTTTCAAATCTTAACAGGAAATTAAAAGATACAAGTTAGGGAGTCCTAAATCATTTCGTTACCTGAATCAATCAAATTGCTACAAACTAGTTGGTGTTAGTGATGCTCAGGAATATCTTGCAACAAGAAGAGCAATGGATATTGTCGGAATTAGTGAAAAAGAACAAGTATCCATTCTACTATCACTTAATCTTTTATTTTTTCCTTGTATTTTGCTTCTGAAGTATGGTAGTTGTTATATTTTTCATGCTAGGAAGCAATATTTAGAGTTGTGGCAGCCATTCTGCATCTTGGGAACATTGAGTTTGCAAGGAATGGTGATACTGACTCATCAGTTCTTAAAGATGAGAAATCAAAGTTCCATCTTCAAACAACATCAGAGCTTCTAATGTACAAACAACCTTGATATTTATTTATTTGTAGTTGTCATTTTGTTTGAGTGAGTCAACTGACAAATTCTTTTATTCAGGTGTGACGTTAACGTACTTGAAGATGTACTACTGACGCGATCTTTGGCCATCCCTGAAGATGTTATCAAGAAATGTCTTGATCCTGAAAATGCAGCAGTTAGTAGGGATGCTTTAGCAAAAACTATATATTCTCGCTTATTTGACTGGTATCTCTGTTATTGTGATCAACTTGTTTATACAATATTCTGCATGTTACTATGATATTAAGGATACCCGTTTTATATCTATAGGTTGGTCGAAAAAATTAATAACTCTATTGGACAAGATCCAAAATCAAAGTCACTAATTGGCATTCTCGACATTTATGGTTTTGAAAGTTTTGAAAGTAATAGGTAAGTATTGATTGGATTTTAAGCTGCAACCATTCTGTCTAACTGATATAGTGAATAGTGATATCATTTTCCATGGACTTGTAACTAACTCTCTCTGATATATTTAGTTTTGAACAATTCTGCATTAATTATACGAATGAGAAGCTGCAACAGCATTTCAACCAGGTATGTAGATGCTACTGCATCTCAGTCAATCTTATACATTTTGTCTCAAGACACTGAATTCCTGCGATTTATTCCAGCACGTGTTCAAGTTAGAGCAGGAGGAATACAATAAGGAAGGGATTGATTGGAGCTATATAGAATTTGTTGATAACCGAGATGTTCTGGATCTTATCGAAAAGGTTCATCTATTTCATTTTAGTAATGACGTTTCACCCTAATAAAGACACTCATGTAATCATGTATATATGTTGTGCATCTATGTATGTATAGTGTATATATCTATAGCATACCCATAGAGTGTTTCTGATGACTTGTTCTCAAGGTGTAAGTGAATTTTATATGGAAAAAGAAGGCTTTAATTTCATTTAGAAGCATTTAGTACGAAAAATGGGAAGAGTCTTCAAACGCTATTTTAATGCTTATTTTTTAAACATAAATTTGGTTCTTTTTCGGAAAGGCATTTCAAGGGCTTCAATGAGAAAGAACTTATACACTAATACAGGCACATATTTAGACTTATAGACTAAAAAAACACAAACACACAAATATATGTATGTATGTACTATACTACTAATCTACTATATGTGTATCTATGTACGGAGTATTTATTTATTTATTTATTTCCTTCTTTCTTGACCTTCTTGTGATTGAAACATGCTATTATGAGATGAAGTCGAAGTTTGATTTTTCATATTTATGTATGAATATTTTTATAAATTTAAGCGAGGTTCTCTGTACAAAAAAGAACTGTTAAAAGGGACCACCTAACATTGTACTGCTTCAGTTTGTGTTCATTCCACTTGTACAAATTAAAATTTCTGCATAAATATTTTCCTCAAATTCAATCTCTCCTTGGCGTTTCCCTTTAAAATATGGGTGCTGCAGAGCTAATGTTTTTTCATGTTGGCTGATTCTCATATGAACTTATTATAGATAATCATGCATTTTAAACCTTTTTATACCCATATTAGTCCACCAGTTGACATAAGGTTTTCATGAAATGCTATATCAGAAACCTGGAGGGATCATTGCTCTTCTTGATGAAGCATGGTATGTATGTGAACTTCAGTTTCGTGTGCATAATTGACATATTTTCTGTTTATGGTTATGTGTAAAAACTCTTGCATTGATTCTCCTTTTGTGGACTTATCCTGTTTCCAGTATGTTTCCCAAGTCAACTCATGAAAGTTTTTCACAAAAACTTTATCAGACTTTCAGTGGTCATAAAAACTTCATCAAACCAAAACTGGCCCGTAGTGAATTCTCGATCGCTCATTATGCTGGAGAGGTACACTTACCTTATTGCATCAATCAAGTATTCCAAATCAATATGGGATGCATGACTAAGAGTCTAGTTGAATTGGCTTTTCATCAGGTACTATACCAGTCTGATCAATTTTTAGATAAGAATAAAGACTACATCGTTCCTGAGCATCAAGGTCTGCTATGCTCTTCTAAGTGCCCATTTGTGGCTGGACTCTTACCTCCTCTTTGTGAGGAGACAAGTAAACTTTCCAAGTTTTCATCTATTGGTTCTCGTTTTAAGGTATTATGTAAATTGTAGATTTAAAATTTTGTTAAGTTTCTGGCAGACATAATTGTATGGCAACTAAAGTGATTGCTATCAATAACTGGTTACAATTTATTGCTGAAGCTACAACTCCAACAATTGATGGACGTTCTTAATTCGACTGAACCTCATTATATCAGATGTATGAAGCCAAATAATCTCCTAAAGCCTTCCATTTTTGAGAATGCAACCATTTTGCATCAACTTCGTTGCAGCGTGAGTACACATTGACATTTACGTAGAAATGATTTCCATCATTTGAAGTATTTAATTACTTCTGTCATGTTACTCTTATTGCAGGGAGTTATAGAAGCAGTTAGAATTAGTTGTGCTGGCTACCCTATGCGTAAAACATTCTCTGAATTTCTTAAACGGTTTGGTGTTCTTGCTCCAGAAGTGCTGGTTGGGACGTAAGTAAAGTTACTCTTCTCATCATTCAAGAATATATTTTTGCAAAAGTTATGTCAATTTTGACTTCTTCGTGGACAGCTATGAAGAAAAAGATGCCTGCAAAAAGATCTTTGAAAAAATGAGGCTTCCTTGTTCTCAGGTTATCTTAATACCTCGTATGCTTTATTTTGGAACACAGTTGAATGTTAGTGGTTAAGGTTAAACTAATTGTTTGACCATATCTAATTCGTATATTTGCTAGACACTACAACTATATCTGCCAGACAAACTTATTGTAGAGTTAAGGTGTGAAAAAAGAAAATGGGAAATTTTCTTTACTTTGCAAGATACTCCGTATTGTTTTGCTTGCACACACGCATTATTCTCTTCGTTCATGCGGTACAGTCTCTGCTTTCTTTTATTCTGCATGGGTACGTAGGTATTTTTTTTATACAATTAAGTGAACTCTAAAGCTAATGCTCAAAACCCCAACTAATTGGGATCAAGGTGCTGATAGGGATGAATAATGATGATGATGATGATGATATGCTACACAGAGCTTGTCATTCTTTTCATTCATTATGTGCAGATTGGCAAGACAAAAGTCTTTCTGAGAGCGGGTGAGATGGCTCAACTGGAGGCAATGAGGACCCATAAGCTCAGCATTGCAGCCAAGAGAATTCAAAGGAATATTAAAAGCCGTATTGAACGGAAATACTTTCTTGATCTGCAGAAGGCTGCAATCTGTATACAGTCTTCATGCCGAGGTTCGAACTGTTTATATTAGAAATTTATCATGACACCTTTTTCTAGTTAGGAGGAGAATTTGATTTTATCGGTGCTTCATTTGTTGCTTGAATTTTAATGTCAAACAAGATGTCATATGCTTCCGTTTCAGCAAAACTGTGCTCTAGATTGTCCATGCTACTTGCATATTATAGGGACTTTCGTAAAGGTGAATATAGGTGCAGTTGACTTGTTCGAAAAATACATATGTATTTTCTTAGTATAATATAATAATACTGAGTATCTAAAAAAGATGGTAGAAGTGTGTCATTCATTTTAGGAAGTTCAACAGAAAATAGTGCCTTCTAGATGCTTTTTTATCAATTCATTTAACACAGTTAAATGATTTGATGTTTCATAAAATAATATGGTTGACAACTTGAGAAGGCTGATAATCAGAAATAAGAAATCACCGAACTGGCACTATAAATCTGTGACGGTTTTCACCATTTAAATTTAACTTTTACTAATCCCTGCTTTCCTTGACACTTCACAGCCACGCTTGCTTGCAAATTGTGTGAAAATATAAGAAGGGAGGCATCTTCTCTCAAAATCCAGAGAAGTTTGCGTGGGCACTTTGCTAGAAAATCTTATAGGAAGCTTAAGTCCGCAGTCATTATTCTTCAGAAAAGGACACGGACATTAGCTGCATTCAAGAATTGCAGGCGCAAATATCAAAATAAGTTTGCAACTATCATACAAGTTAGTTATTGATTGCATGATATGCTGGTTCAAGGGTTATGATCAAAATCAGCTCCTTTATTAATTAGATATCATCTCTGCAGGCCCATTGGCGTGGTTATAGAGCCTTCTTATACTATAAGAGACTAATAAGGGCATCAATTGTAACACAGTGCTGCTGGAGAGGAAGGATTGCAAGGAAAGAGCTTGAAAGGTTGATGGTAGGATCTCACCATCTAATTAGCTTATTGATACGTACGGCTGTTCAGCTTTTCTTAGATGTGAAAATAGGCCTCGGCTAGTACCAGATGATTCATGCTTCAATCTATTACTGTTTACAAAGCAAAAGAAAAAGTTTTTTTTCCTTTCTTTTTGTTGTTCACCATGATCCAAATTAATAGGCTCCATCAATTTAATAGATCTGTGATCTTTTTCCATGAAGTGCATGTTACTTTGACAATATTTTCATGATGTTTTTCATGCAAGTGGAAATGCTTAGGATGATTACGTTTTTGGCATCTCATTTCATTACTCTTTCATAAGAGGCTTGCAACAAAAAGGGCATTTGGTGTAAAACGTTGCTGCTATGGTTTTTGCATAACTTATAGTATTAATTTTAGAAAATCAATTGACTATGATTTTCATGCCACCAAACCCAACAAAGGATCTACATGCTATGTGAAAGTAATGCAAAAATGGTTACTGTGAGCATGAGACATAAAGTTTTCTGATTGAGCACTGGAGGGCTCTGAATAGGTGCAAATCGTGCAATTGCTTTTCCTGCCTGGTATCATGGGGATATCATCAAAGCAGACGAAGCATGTTTGAATCTAACAGTGTAACTGCAAATATTTTTAGTCCCTGCAAATATAGTGCATTTGGTTTTACGCCCATGCAAAATTATTTTTTGTTTTTAATCCCTATAATTTACGTTGTTTTTCTTTTTAGTCCATCACCGATCAGAACAACCTCCGTTTGACAACGAAATAACTCTGACTAATAGATTTTTTCTCATTCTTTGTCATGTCATTAAAAAACACTCAATTTTATTTTTAAGAAGGTCGTTAACAACTACTCCCTCCGTCCCTTATAACTTTGACATTATTTCTTTTTTGGTTGTTTCACAAACTTTTTCACTTTGCCTTTTAATCAATTAATTTGTGGTTTCTATTATTTTTATATCATCTACACAAATCTCAAAACCATACTTTTTACTTTATTATTCCACATGCCGGTCAAACTTGGCAATGTTATAAGAGATTGAGGGAGTATTTTTAAAAAGTGGGATTTTACATTGTTTTAACTTCATATAAGCCTCAAAAAAAATTATAAAAGGATAAATTTAAAAGTTTCTAAAAGATTTATGCAATAGACATTATTTTTTTCTAAATAGAGTGGTCTCAGAGTTAGAGATTGACAAGAAAGAAAACACACGGATGAAAAACAACGAAAATATTTTGCAGAGATGTAAAACAAAATGTGTCATATTTGTGGGAACTAACAACGTATTTAATCCTCTACTAAATTAACTTTTAGTCTTGTCTCAATTCGTACTTTATTTCTTTCACTAAGATGAGCAACATATACATCGTAGATTTATATCGATTTGGCTATCGTATGCACCATATGCATGGTAAAAACTATTTAACATGTGATTGACAAGTGCACCGTATGCACTTGGATTATTGACCCTATTCAGATTCTATTGAATTTATGTAATAGGTTTAATTATTCAAGTAAATGAAATTAGTTGAAGTGTATAGTATGTAGCTGGTGCATGTGATTGACAAAAGGGTAATTCATCATCATCATTACCCCAGTGCCGCAAAAGGGTAATTAGCTAAAATAAATCACCTTGTTTTTGGAAATGCCTGATGATGGGTGTCTAATATCTCTAGGCTGCAAGAGGCACTGATGTGGTTAAAGAAGAAAATAATAGACTCTTACAACAGGTTGAACTATATGTGTGTTGGAGAGGATTGAGAGTAAAAAACATTGATTCTGCAGATGCTTCCTCTTGACAAAACTTATCAATCATGTGCAGACGTATTCAGGAGCTGCGGAGGGTCAGAAAATATCAGTTCCTGTTGAAGATGCAGAAAAGATCAATGATCTAACTGCAGAAATGGAAAGATTAAAGGTCAGCTGCCAACTATTATTCCTAAAGATTGCATTTTAATCTCCATAAGCTTAAACTATTGCCATTCCCAATAATTCTTGCAGATTCTATTGCAATCTGAAAAGCAACGCGCAGATGATTGTGAGAGGAAATGTGCAGAAGCTCTGCAATCAAGTGAAGAAAAGCGTCTGAAGTTAGAAGAGTCTGAAAGAAGAGTTCACCGACTTCAAGAATCACTAAACAGGTAGATCTTTTGATTTGGACAGCAAGTAATTTTATATTATTATCAGTAGGTTCTATCGTCTATGATGATGCCAACCAGTATTGGTTTGATGTGTAATTGTATCTTCAGAAGAACATAATATATTGAATTTGGTTGGAGTAGTCACACTTTGTATCTTTTATTGAAAGAAAGAATGTTCCATGGAACATATGACTAATACTGGATATGATCTAGTGTGCCTCAGGATGCTATGCAGCATATCAGATCAATTTTCAGAGCTAAAAGTGATATTAAGTGCCTCGTCCAGCTCAAGCTCAACTTCCAGATTAATTTCTAGATACCATCACGATGATGCTACAACTTCCTCTGATGCTGCATCCACATTCCCAGCTGCTGCTTCAACATCAGAGAACTTGTCTTTGCATCCTGATCCTGCCTCTTTCCAGCTTATAGTTCAAGATCTTTCAGCAGCAGAAATAGCAGGTCAGCCCATTTTGCCTTGAGTCAGTTAAACATGTTGCCTGTCCTAATTAGCCTATCTCACTCCCAACCCTTATAACTAAAAATGCGAACTTATTTTTCATATTAATCTCAAGAGTTCTCCTTACTGCTTCTCAATGTTACAATAAAAGGTTGGAGTATACATCTCATTTCTCTTGACGGCTGCACTTGCAGGATATGAAAACTGGGAAAGTGACAGAGAGGGGGCATTCGACGACTTTTTTTGATGGAAAGTTTCTTCAAACTTTTTTGAATCTTATCTGGGAACTGTTGGAGTCATGTATCCACCTCATTCAGAATTGGGCTATTTCACTCACCCGGGGATTTTTCCATGCCAATCAAATTATTCTCCCCAACTGAATCTGCATTTGAGCATACTTGTTTGAGAAACTCCTAACCATGAACATTCTTAATCTTGAGTTCGAAACAGATATCCTTCAAGGTCTCAGTTTCTATTAGGTCATTACCTGTACTGGAAATAGTTTGTACATGGAGGACCATTTGGATTCATGTTCATATTCCTCGATCTTATATGATTACATGAGCCTGCTGGCCCTGCTATCCATAAACTGTCAACCCCTTTCAGCCCTGATGATGCGATGCTCCGATGCCATTCAATTATATTCCTCCATCCAAAACCTGCTCAAATACATATGGTGTTTGAATGAAAGGCGTACAAAGAAGTTCCAGCTAAACTTTAATTCTGGCCATGCAACTCATACTATCCTTCTTATACCTTAACTTCAATTTGTCCGTTGTTTCAACGCCTCTTATTGAGATGAGAATGTTTCTTGTTAGCAATGGTTTCTCAAATCTGGGTCTAAACATTTTCCGTACAAAGAAGCTTACTTGGAGCCTCTTTTACGTGCTATTTTGAGAGTATACTTTACTTAACTGCTTTCTACTACATAACAGAGGGGATGCGGGCTGTGCATGACGTAATCTCAGCACATAAGATAGGCAGCATGATTTCTGGTAATGCAATCTTTTCTTTTTACTCTATTCACAATGTTTTATCTCCTTCAATTCTTCACCACTAACATTGTTAGAAGAACATGGGTCTGGAACATGTTTGAATATTTGACTGAGCTTCAGAATCAGAAGCATTAGACTAGTCTCTGTCCATATATTGTAATGCAAAACTCAGACATTGTGAACCGTCATCCTTTCTGTGATTGCATTACACATTGAGGGCATTATGTCATCCTCATCCTGAAATGACTGATTAATTATGATCATCATAACAGAAGAGTAATGGTAAACTGCTTTATTTTCAAAGGTAGTTTTACTTGGGAAATGCTGAAAAGCCTTCCAGTGCTCATCTAAAAAATATGGAGTAATTGACCCTTCAATTCACGGGAACAGGAATGTAAAATGTGCATATGTATTAATTCATTGCTGCAAAAATAATTTCTTTAGTATGAATGCATACTAATTAACCACTAATTCCATCTAACTAGTACAAGAATATATTTCAATTAATATGTAGTAGTAGCAATATAAAATACGTAATGAAATGCTCCAATGGTTAAATTTGAATATTTTTGCATAGTTGAAAGTCTAGAACTATTTTTGAGTTATTTGTATGCATACTAGCTTGCAAGGATTGCATTCGTAGAAGAAAACAGTCCTTAAACACATTTTTGGTATATAGGAATGGATGGAGATTCTGAACTTAACCTCATTACAAAAGAATATGAAGGAAAATAGTATTATAAAGTATGCAGTTTTTGGATTGCCTCCATTGATGCTTTGATGATTGTGACCATGGCAGGGAGTTATAGAAGCAGAGTTAATATTCACTGTGCTGTCTACCCTAAGCATAAAAGTTCTTTTGAACTTTTCAAATTTTTCGGTCTTCCTGGTTCAGAAATTAGAAACAGGGTAAGTTCAAAAGAACTTACCGTAAGTATAGTTGTTGTCTTCATCATTTGGCTATTTGAGATTATCTTTTTCAAAGTCGGTTATGTTCATGTTGTATTGCAGATGGTGCTGGACTCGGGCCGGTTCGGGCCCGGTTCGGGCCTGGGCCCGGCCGGGCCTCAGGCCAGGAAAGGGAGGCCCGAGCCCGAACCGCCGGTGGCCGGTTCCGGTCCCGGTTCCGGGCCAAACCGGGCCGGGCCGGGCCGGGCCGAACCGGCCCAATTAATTTTTTTTTTTTTGTTCTCCTATTTAATCCCCTACCCCTCCCCCTCAACCCCAAACCATCCCAAACCACCTCAAATGGCCCAAAATACCTAATCCAACCTAAAACTTAAAAAAATTTCAAAAAAAAAAAAAAAAATCCGGCCCGGACCGGGCTCGAACCGGCCGGGCCGGTTCACCAAAACCTGGGCCCGGGCCCGAACCGCCCAGCAGCCGGGCCGGGCCGAACTGAACCGGCGGACCCACCGGGCCCCGGGCCGGGCCGGGCCAAACAGTAACCGGGCCGGGCCGGTTCCGGGCCGGGCCGCCCGGCCCGAGTCCAGCACTATTTCAGAAAATATTCATTTGGCTAATAATACCCATTGTTTCTTACATTTTCATAGGCAGAAAGATTTTGAAAAAAAATATTAAGTGGGGCTTGACTGCCCTTATTTGCACTCTTGAGAGTTGCAGCACCAGAGAAAAGTCCAATAAAAGGGAGAAAGCGACAAATAAGGATGTGAGGATTGCTTTCCTTTTATCAAATGAAAGCGTAATATGGAGCATGTCTATTTCCACCACAAATTTGATAATGAAGCTTCAAACATGGGCCTAGTGCCTAAGTCATAAATAGCATGATTTAGAGTTTAGACCCTAAATGAAGCAATTCTAGTGCATTGCCCAGGATTAATGGTGTGTTTAAACATGAACATTTTACAATATTTTCAACATGCCAGTTCTGGAACATGGACTTCAAAATCATAGGTACAACAACGAGAACAAATAATTCAATTTACAAGAGAAATATAATTGCTAAGCATGGAAAGGAACCATATTCACACAATCAAATATATGAACACTGAACAGAAGTACAGAACTATTATAAATAAAAACAGGAAACCATAAAGTAGCCTTTATGGTCCAGACCTATCCTCTCTTCCCCTGCACCACAAAGTAGCCTTTATGGTCCAGCCATATACTCACTTCTCCTGCACCTCAAAGTAGCCTTTATCTTCGTCATAGGATTCATAGCCTTCATTTTATAAACCAAATGCTGCATGTCTGTTCAATGGGCAGTTTACCCTCCATTCTGTCACACTCACACATTGACATCAGTTGGTAGTAGCTGCATCAATGACCATAATACATCCATGCGATGTATTATTTGATTTTCCTGCCCCTAGAGAATAAGCTCAAGTCATTTTGGATTTACAAAAAAATGGCTATGGCCGTGCATTGTGCATGATAAGATGAGTAATCCAAACTATTATATGTTGGTTCTTTATCTTTATATTTGTTCAATGTAAAAAGATTTAACACAAACAAGGGGAAAGAACTTCAATAATCTAGGACAATCACACCATACATATAGGGATGGTACCTCAACCACAAAGCGCATGAGTGTCTTCTCACCATAAGACTCTGCTACTCCTTTCAGTATAGTAAGTTCCAAGCTCCTGATGGCCTCGGCGATCTCAAGAAAGTGGCTGCAGTCTTTCAATAGCATCTGTATTCATTTTCATATAAAATATATGAAAACGAATGAAGCTAAAAAAATACAGCATACACTATATGTAGATATCGAAACTATCTAACCATACCTCAACTAGCATGTGACCGTTTGTGTTAAGATTTTCTACCATTATATGGCAAACTCTCAAGTTACTACTCCCCACTTCCACCGCCCAGCTTGAACCTTGCTCCTCCTTACACGAAGACCCTTTGTGGGTAACTGATTCCTTCTCAAGCAGCCACTGCAATCATAGAAGTTGAAAATGCAGAGACACTTAAATTTCTAAGTCTGCATAGTATCAGGACCAAAAACGCAATTTATTACCCATCAAAGGTTATACATAAGTAGGTAATGCTGTATACTTTATGCTTACCTTTGATGCAGTACATTTATCTAGCATTTCATCATGCTCCGTAACACTTTGCATGTAAAGCACATGCTTAATCGCCCGCTCCAGAAGTGAATCGATACTGCACTGTAAATTATTATGATCCCAAAAAAAATTCTGTAAGAAACAGAACATTCCGCAAAGTTATAGAACAACAGCATGTGAGAAACTAACTACCTTTGAACCATTAGGCACCAGGTCCCGCAACTCCTTAATGCGTTCTTGAATGAGTTGTCTGTCCCTTGGCCTAGGCCGACAACTCTCTCCAGGTTTAGCCCTCCGTTTACTCGTTCGTCTAATTGTTTCTTGTTGTCTTTCCAGATACGCCCCTGACGAGTTGGACGAATATACCGCTGAACTTATTGTGCCCTTATCACTGCTGCAAGGTTCTGCCTTTTCAACAGATCTAGCATCACTCTCTTGCCAACAACTAAGATTTCCCACCACTGCTTCCAAGAGTTGATCTGTCTTGCTCTCACTCAGTAACAGACTGCTATCACCCGTTTCCGCATTTTCTGACTCCCAGAGATTGGCAGTTCTACCATTTTGAAAAGCAGGTCCTAATGCTTCATATAGCTCACATCCAGCATAGTAGTAGCTTAAAGGAGTCTGATTTGTGTCGATTTCATTAGAATGGAGTGTGTTCTTATATAAATCTTTATGCAAACCGGCACTGGGAAGAACCGGCAAGGACAATAATGATGCATTTGGATCACTAGCATCATACTTGAGAGTTTTGTTATTGTCTTCTAAGAATGACTCTCTTAAATTGATAGCTTCTAGTTTGCTCACTGTAGGAATGGCTTCTTGCACCTGTCCTTCACTTTTATGCCCCATGATGAAACTTTCAGAAATTGGTGCCCCAGGATTACCTTCGCTCTTGTTGGGAACTTCAAGATTTTTTATATTTGTGTAAGTTGAAGGATAAGATACACTACGGGAATGATGAGTGTGTGTTCCTTGTCCGAGAGATGCATATTTAGAAGAGAGAATATTTGTACCTCTTTCTGTACTTCTGTCTTGATGATTATTAATGCAATTATGATAGGTACTTGAGGTTCTAGTGGACACATCTGACTGGAAAAAATAAAAAGCAGACTTATATTTTAAGGAATGAATTAATTGCAACTTCCACTTCTAGTCCTGGGACATTAGGTCATTCCCATTCTGTCATTGGCATTCATCTTTTTCCTTTTTGGTGCAAGGCTAAGGCTGGACCCAGCCTGCTTCCTGGTGTGGCTAAGGGGAGAACCAGAACCCTAACCGGATAAACCAGTTCCGGGTTTTGGCCTATTGCCAAAACAGAAAAAGGAACCAGAACTGGTCAGTTGTGGTCCTTTTTGGATTAACAGGAACAAATTCCAATCCAGAACCAAAAAAGTAGGTTCATGTTGGTCCTTTTACCCACACGGTTGCAATTTGGCATGGTTCTGCAACCGGGTCCAGCCTTATGCAATGTGTTTATTGCCTTTTCTTGTCTTATCAAGTCATTTATACAGTTATAATAAATTGGAACCTGGTCTGTTAAGTGCCCAGAAGGAACACAAGTGACAAAAAAAATCCATTGTCATGCATAGAAGGTGAAAAACATGAAACTCATGGAATTAAAGTGAAAGCACTATTACAATCAAGTATGGAGAGAACTATTTTACCATACAAGAAGGCTCCACATTATACTGCTGAATGCTACCTTGCAAGTGAGAACCACCAATAGAATTGTGGACCTCCGAGAAAACATGCCTTATGTGGTTGATCATCTTCATATCCTCAGGAATCTAACAACAATAATTTAGTAAAGAAAATATGTAAAAACACTCGTGGATATCAAAAGGCCAATCGATAGAAATAAATACTTATTACAAACATCAATGCAATGGCCTTTGTTTCTTCAGAAATTAATCAGGCATTCATGAAGTGCATATGATTCCACAATCTTAGAGAGAAATATTTACAATTTTATACACGAATTCTTACATCCTCCAAAGATCCTAACTGTACAACTCCAAGAGGACCAACTGCCACAACAACTATGGTCTGCAATGCCAAAAAACATATTAAGCAAATCTCTCTCTCAGAAGGAGAAATGGAGAAAATGGTCATGAATAACAATATAAATGGCTAACCTTAACACCAGCGGAAAACTGAGGTTGCCATCTATCATCTCCATACTGAATTCAAAAATAAAGCATGCAATCCGTGCATGAATATCATTTGCACACATTTTAATATACACTTTCATAAAAACAATTAGGAAGTTATGTGTTTCACCTGGAATGAGGAGCTTGGGTTAACTGCCCATTTATCAGTAGAAATCCACAAATGTTTACCAGTAACAGCCACTTGTCCTACAATCCTTGTCAAGATAATAAATTTTATGAGATGAAAAAACATGACATCCAAAGAGTTTGTAAATATTGTCAACTTAGTTCACAGCTTGGAACTTTAATGTCATTATTATTCTGATTTTGAAAAAAAATTCCTACCAATTTAAGCATCTGCTTGCCAAAAGAAAATTATAAATAACGGTTTTTCCTACAATAATAATATTACTAGAAACAAAACTCTTAGATAATTATGACTACATAGTCATTGCACAATGTCAACATGGTCATTGCACACTAATATGAAATTTCATTATAATTGCAAGTCACTACAAAATGCAACAGCTCCTTTGAAATCCATTACTTTTGTATTAGTCATTTGTTTTTCATTAATTCTATAAGTAACAATAATTATATACTTCCAAGTATCATCATCACCATCATACCCTTCCCCTAGAGAATAAACATGGTATGACATCTTGGCCACGGCTAAACCAAGAGCATCATGTGAATATTTATGACAATTCATCAAGTTTCCTGCTGAATTACTGAGCCATTTTTTCTCTTGGTTCTCAGTATTACCATAATATCCATCCTCCCAAGTCAGCACCCTGCAGCATGAAGCCCAACAACAACAAACAATCATTAAGGCTAATAATCTCAAATCAATGACATTAATGTTTCCTTAAAAAACAGACAAATAAACTTAGAAAATGAACTCCAAATATGGATACAAAATTCAGTATTGGGAGAGAAGCAGGGGAGTAAGAACTTACATGCGCGCACGATGTGTAAGCTTCCAGAAAACAGCATACTTCCAAACAGCGTTGCAACAAAGGTCAGTAAGTGCTTGGTGCAATGAGAACCCCATATTCTTCTTTCTTTTTCTTATTTCACCAGTCAGCAGAAATTTAAACCTCAAGAAA